ACAATGGCCCAAATATGTTGTCATACACAACAGCAAAGAACAAAATCTCAAATTACAATAAACAGCTCACTAAAAAACATAAAATATAAAAATAACTAAAGCCTATACACCATATATAAAAACAATTTTTTAAAAAAGAAGCTGTGATATCATAAAGTAATGTATAAGGAATAACTGTGTTTGAATGAATATATCTAAATGAACAGAATGTTTTGCCTTTTTTTCCCCCAACACATTGTCGCAAATAAAAAGGGATAAAAATGAGGAATACTTTAAGCAGACCTTGCATCCTCCTGTTGTCACAACAAACAGCGCTCCACCTCCACAGCACACGAGTCCAGGTTCCTGTTCCACCTGAGCAAAACATGTTGAAGAACTGTTCTTTGTTTGTTTTTTTTTATTTAATCTGGCTCAGCATCAGTCCATTTACCTGTACAATCTGCTGTGAGGCAAAAGGATGGCAGTTGTAGACATGCACCATGTTTGCTCCTAGTTTGAAGATGTAAATTTAAATACAAACTGCGGTTCTTTCCACTCTGTTTGGTTAAATTACTCTTCTGCAGACTTCATCCATTAGAATACTGCTGGAAAATAACAATCAATGAGATTTTTTTTAGTCAGAACTGAAAATCTCGTTATAGTTACTGGTCAGGTTCAGAACTGGAACAGACATATTGAACTCAGAACTGAAATATTTTCAGACACTAAACGCATCAGCAAACAGCATTCACTCTGTTTTGAGCTAAAAAAAAAAGAAAATCACACACAGTTTAGACTGTTTTGCTGCATACATTATTTTTTGTTGGAGGTAAAACTACTACCTCAATGGAAGACCCTGCAGCACAGTTTAATTTCTCTTTTGGTTATAAAGAAATATTAAAATCGCAGGGAATGTGGGGGATCAATAGTAATTTACATAAAATGGCAAAGTTCTAAAATAATAAACAGAATTAATGTTCACTAAACAGAAATTGTATGTAAAGAAATATCTTTATAATGCATAATAATACATTACAATTGTACACCTCCACCTGGTCTAAGGTTTTATAACTGGACTTAATTTAGATGTAAAAATAACCAAAAAAGGACTAAAATGACAGTCTGGTAGAGTTTTCTACATGGAACAAAACTGAACAACTCTGAAATTGTCTGCATTTACGATTTTGAAGAGGAAAATGCAATGCAAAAATAGGAAGAAAACTCTAATTTCCCAAGTTATAAAATCATAACCTGTGATCTGAGCTAATGCCAGCTTATATTACTATAATAAAAAATTAAATCCTCAATACCATTTACATCATTACAGAATACATTTAGTCCAAACTTTTCATCATCATTATTATTGCCAATATCGAAATTAAAAGAAACATGAAGAGATTCTCGGAGTTAAAACTAAAATCTACTTCACCTTAATGGCTGTAAAAGCTGAATGTTGAAACAAAGCAGCGGTTGTCCTGCAGGATGTTTTCTTCCCTTACTAATCAATATCACATGCTGAGGTCTTGTGAGCGGCAACTCTGGTTCTTTAAAATAAATCCAAACAATTAGTTACGTCACCACTTTAGTCCCATTCCGGTTTTAAATCATCTTTTATATACAGTAAAAGTCATATTAGCTAACTAACGTACTTACATTATTGTTACTGCCGACGCTTTTCCTCTCTTCCTCATTGAGCGACTACTGCAGTTTATTGATTTCATGCGAAACAGGAAGAGAGCGGTCCATAACAACTAAGAGCCCGCCCTCTCTTGATTCTGATTGGCTCTTCAGGCTGAAAGTTTCCTTTGATTGGTTACTCAACGAGTATTATTGAAAAGGTGATCAGTCTCGAAAGTTTTTTAACTACTTAACGACCAAAGTAAGCTTTGTGTTATTGTTTTTATTGGTCGTTTATTAAAAATATAATTTGTCTATTTAGAATGTCTTCGTCTTACAGTTTTTTTTGGTAAACAATCTTCAGCTTGCTTTGCTTTTCGCATTTGCTGTTATTGTTCCGATGCAAACAGTATATTGTCACTAGAAGTAGCCTATTTTCCCCCTGTTCTAATGCTCAATAATTGCATAACCTACTGTAAGAATTCACTTAAAAACGTTGAAAAACATTTGATTTGTTTTTGGCTAATTTGGTTATTTTCTAATTATGTGATCACTCTGTAATGTTTTTACTTTAGTCTTTAAAATTGTTTTGTCTGATTACATCATTTAAAATATATATTATACTGACTCAACAGTTATTCACCTGTACCTCGCCATTTTTACTTAATACTCCCCAACTTTTACCTGAGTACAGGCAGGTTGGATCTTTTTTTAATGTTTGTTTGTTTTATTTTATACAAATCATGTTGAAGTCCGTACAAGTCTTCTGTCAGACTTACTGATTTTTTTTTTTAAACAAATAAAACGAACAGGTGACAATGACTTAATAAGAGAAATAAAACCAGTAATTTGGGGCATTGTTCTAACTTTAAGTACCACAAGGGGGCAGCAGTTGAGAAAAAAAGGGCTTAATGACACATGCATTCTGCCAAATGTGGACTTATGTGCAAATGGAAATGAACCAGTGACGTGCGGTCAGGGGAGGCAGGTGAGGCAGAGCCTCCCCTTTCATCATGGAAAAATAATATATAATAATAAAATCATTTATAAAGATATTTTCACCCTGTGGTTTGTACTATAAAGTACCTATTTGTGTTATTGTTAATAGGTACTTTATAGTACAAACCACAGGGTGAAAATATCTTTATAAATGATTTTATTATTATATATTATTTTTCCATGATGAAAGGTGAGGCTCTGCCTCACCTGCCTCCCCTGACCGCACGTCACTGGTTCATTTCCATTTGCACACAAGTCCACATTTTATAGTACAGGGTGTACATTATAGTACACCCTGTGGTACTATAAAGTACCTATTTTTCATGTAATTTAACCAAATCTGACGATTTTTTTTCTTCAAAATCGCTGAATTTTCGCATTTTCCCATTCAAATGCCCAGAAGCGAAGCCGGTGAGGCAGCAGTGAGCTGAGCCTCACCTGGGATTGCGCAACCTCTCGCTACTGCACCTGTTGCCATTCTATGGGAGCAGATTCGAGGTGAGGCAGGCAGTTCTAGTGCCTCATCGCTGGGGGCGCTCATGATCCCAGACATCGTCACTCCACAACTGCAGAGTAAGAGACAGTAACAGTGAGCTAGCCATACAGTAGCTGCGCTGATGCAGAGAGCGAGAAAGACGTGATTTCGAGTTGTACTTTACCAGTTTCTCCCTTTGCTGTTAAGCACAGCACGAAATAAATCATATCTACATGTCTAAGTTTGATTGAGATAACGGAATTATTCTGTGGCGCGGCTGTGGATGGCATGTAAAGGAATAGCCTTTTTGCCCTCCAGTATTGTACGCATGCGCGAAATTTCCTTACGTAAACAATAACATTCAGGGGGTCTAGATTTGCAAATCCGATTATAATTAAGTCGGTGCCTCACCAGCTATGAACCTCACCGCACGTCAGTGAAATGAACATGTTTTACCTTTTAATGTAAATTACTTGCATGGCTCAATTATTTGATTGCAAGAGCTTTATTTTGTAGCTTTTCTGGGGAAGAAAATTTATTTGATCAATGTAGATACACTGTATATTCAGAGTGAAATTTTAATTATTTTTGATTTAAAGCCAAGAAACTCTAGTTTATTGTGGATTGTATCTCTGCAGGAAAAATAGCAATGCATTTGTAAACCATAATTTAATTAAGTCCCTTAATGTTAAAAGATTCACTGTCAGGATGGAACATCTTACTCTGCATTTTTTTTAACAATATAGCTTGATTTTATGCTTTTCTTAGATTTAAAAGCACATAAAACTACACTTTGTTGCTATTGTTGCAAACAAGCACAATTAACAAAAGTTTACGATTGGAATAATTTGCTTTAATTTCCATACCAAACTGGCTATATATGAATTTATGAGTCTCCTCAGCGCCTCCTGCTGGACTTGAACCACCAATAGATTAGATTTACATGAGGCAGGTTTTCATGAGAGTAATTGTTGCAAGCCTGGCCGTTTCCTCCTTGTGCATCTCCGCTTGAACAAAAGCCTTCGTTTACAGCACAGTGCGGGTTTTCTCCCCTTGATTTGGATTCTCTCCGGTAGATTTTCTACCGGGCCAATCAGCGAACAGGAAGAGAACTCGTAAACGATTACGTTAGTTTTCTGCGCAGTTTTAGAATTGCAGTCTGCCTGTAGTTTTACTAATGGTAGCGGGGACGTCAGTCACGCTTCCAAATACTGAATCAACATTAACAGCCGCCTGGTTCGGATGGGCTCTTCTCTTCACAGTGCAGAATGGTTGTTTATAGCGCAGGCAACTTCCGGTAAAGTTTTCGTTGTGTCGCACTACATACGTCACGGACAAACTTATCGATTGGGTGTAAAATGTAAAACTTCAACACAGTCCACGCCTCCAGGTAATCATTTCTCAGTAGTCAAGCCCAGACGAAGGAAAAGGCTAGGACAAGAGGCTAACTTTTACCAGGCTATTTTTATTGTACAAACCGCCTTTTAGTTTCTAATTAAACACTTAGCTTAATGCTACATATTTAGTTCTGAGCTAAATATTTGGCTAATGTGCAAATTCACTGAGCTAAATATTTAGATCAGTGAAATATTTAACTTAGCTCAAATAGTTAGCTTTAGTTAACTAAATATGTAGTTTGATAGCTAAATATTTAATGTAGCGCTTACTAATTAAATATTTAGCTAGCTAACGAGCTAACTATTTAGTTAAATAATTTTATAACTAAATATTTAGCTTGAAACTGTGACTGAATCACGTGATAAATGCATACATTTTAAAAAGGAAGCCTTTTTACCCGTCTTATGAAAGGCTAAAAATAACCCAAATAATTGTTGTTAATTTTTGACTGTGACTTTACAAACGGCCCCCATACTCGCCCTTCCCCTCCGGCATCATAAGGTAACCCCAGCCAAACGCTCTGCAAGCCGCTTCTTTTATTGGTCTGCGCAGGCATGCAGGCAGGTTTGATGTGGGGAAACGTTTATCTCCGTGCATGAGGGCAGAAACTCCCTCCTGACTGTGACAGGACGGTTCGGGTTTTGCTTCTCCCTGCAGGCTTCATCTGGGTGTCGACAGTAACTCATCCTGGTAGTCCGCTGACTGAACTTTGCAGTTGCAGCGGAGGATCCAAACCAGCAGCGCTGTAGCTCCTGCAGTCAAACCTGCAGGTCTGCAAACCGCCATCAGCCGCTGGGCGAAGCTCAGAAGGTAAGACACACTTTAATTCTGCATATGCATGTAATTTTAACAAAAACAAATTAAAATTGCACAACATTTAAAAAATAAAATCGCCTAACATTTACTGTATTTACTGCGTGGGGTTTTAAACTGGCATCTGAAGCTGTTTATTTTTAAGGAGGCATTTTTAGTCTAAAGCAATGTGACTTTGACTTACTGTACTGTCAATTTCCTGAAAAATGATTAGCAATTAAAATATAAATAAATGTTTCACTTAATCTAATTTGATTTCGACCATGTTTATTCAGTAAACATTAAGTTATGCACCAATCAATACTAATAATGTAAAGTTTCTTTGAGGTTTGAGAGGCGATAGAAATGAAAGATTATCCCCATTATTTTTAATTCTGTGTTTGCAACTCTCTCTAAAGTACAAGATATTTATGAAACACTAAACTAAACATGTTGTTTAAATAGCATTAAAAGAGTGTGAGTTTTTGCTTTTGTTGCATTTAATGACTGGAGGGAAACAGATTTTTTTGTATTTGACATCCAAGTCATTGATCAAAACCGATCAATAGGGAAAAACAATCTGATTCCCATCTTTGCCTAATTGGCTGTGCATCTTTAGCATCTAATCAATGCTGCTGTAGTTGTTTGCCAAGTTTCAGTGTTTATGTTACTCCTATGTTTCTCTCACTACATAAGCTTCTGGATGATTTAATTAGTCAGTCTAAGCTTAGATTGTTTTCATTAATGCAGAAAAAATAAATTGCTCTGTCATCATCCAGATTACTGAGAAAAATGGCAGCAGCAGCAGATTTCTACTCTTGTATAAATAATGATTTTGAAGAAAAAGAACAGGAGATTTAAAGGAATAAGTTTGCAGTCGATTTCAAACATGTAAATAATAAATCTGTGAAAATAAACTTCCAAGGAAACATTAAGTTAATGTGAGATCAGAGCAGAAAAGAAACAACGCTTTGAGGCAAAACTTCAAGCCAAGTGGAAATTACTGATGCTGCACGGTGAAAGTTGGCTGGCATGTCACAGAACTGAGATGTTTGCTGCTTTGTGGCATTTTAGCTGCAAGTCCAGCCATGCTTTCTGTGCACCTGTGTGTCAGCGCAAGAGCCTGAGCTGAGAGCCTGACACCGAGATGGGCACAGATAGCTCCCAGAAGCAGTGATTTTCATCAACTGCCTCTGGCAGCGTCTGCAAATGCGTGCAGACACGAAAGCTACAAAGTTGCATGTTATCCGTCTGTAAAATGCTGTGAGCATGAGCAGGAGGACAAAATGACTTAAAAAGAAGCAAAGGAAACATGCAGCTGGTGTCATTTCAGAAATGCAAAGAAAGAAAAGAAAGAACTGGGAAAAAAAAGATGAGAATTGTGGTGGTAAAAGCAGAAAAGGAGGTGAAAGGGTTTAATCAGTCCCAACTTACCTGCCTTTGTCTTTGTGTACATTTTTTACACGACTAATTCCTACAGGTAAAATTAACTCGGATATTTACAGTCGCTGTCTAAAAACAGAAGCATTTTCTGTCACTGTTTAGATGCCGCTCAGCAAAGAAGATGCTCTAAAACCAACACAAAAAGCAAGAATACAGTTTTAAAAGCAGGAACTAAAACCTTTTTTTTCAGGCATATTCCTGCAGTTTGATGAAGCTGAAGTTGAAATATTTGGCCTTAATACCATTGCTGATATACCAAGCATCTCCTGTCTGAATGTCGTCTTAGATTGTGATGGCCTCTGACCTGAACCCTCAGAGCCACATAAAGACAGTTACAAAGTCGGCCTTCTACCACCTGATGAATATTTACAGGATTAGAGGACTAATGTCTCAGCAACATCTAGAGAAACTCATTCAGTGTGTTTATCTTTAGTTGCATTTATTACTGCAGCATCGTCTTCACAGGTCTGACTAACAAATCAATCAGAAAATTGATCCAGAACGCTGCTGCTGGATTTCTGACTAAAACCAGGAAGATGGAGCGGATCACCCAGTTCTAAAGTCCTTCCAGAGAATAAACTTAAAAATTTTCTGTTGGTTTATAAATCATTGAACGGCTTGGCACCACAACACGTTATAGATCTGCTGCTGTTGTCATAGCAACCTTCCAGACCTCTCAGGTCTTCTGGTTCTGCTCTGCATCCAGAATCAAACACGGAGAAGCAGCTTTCAGCTTCTATGCACCACAAATCTGGAACAAACTTCCAGAAAACTGAAAAACAGCCAAAAACACTGAGTTCCTTTAAATCTAGACTAAAACCCCAGCTGATAGAGCTGCTTTTGAAACATAATAAATGAAAACCAACATTTTGATATGTAATGACAGCACTTCGAAAATGTAACGTTTCAACTGTTGATTTTTGTATTTTTATGATTTAAAGCACTTTGAACTGCCTTATTGCTGAAATTTGAAATATAAATACAATTAACTGATTGATGGAATATCATCAGAATGGCCAAAATAGCATCTTCATTACTGAAGTTAAAATGTATTTACCAAGAAATACACCCCTGCATAGTCCAGACTTGCTTTATTTAAGCTTACCAGCTGATTTTCAGCTCAAAGTTTCCAGCATCATAACAGGAGCTGGAGGAATCTGGATGGTGGTGATGCCAATGTTATTTTTGCAGCCTAATTTAATTGGCTGGATTCTTTGTCAGTCTAATGTGATTGTTGAAATGGATACCCTTGGACTCCAGAGGACGGCCAACGCTGGCATTGGAGAGTGGCTGAGTAACAGGGGAGATTGTCCTCTGATGCTGCATTAGCTGCTCTGCTCTCCCAGTTTGTTCTCTGCCATAGTTACTTTGGTATGTGGCGAGTATTTGTCAAACAGCCAGGCCTGTTTAGATCATAAAACGCGTGAGTCTATTTATACTCCAGGGTAAAATGGATGCTCTAGAGACATGTGGTCATGGGAAACAGCTGAGGTCAAACAACAGGAAGAGGAGAGGAAGACAAACTCCCGAGGGACAGAGTCCAGCTCGTTCTTTAATAATGAGCATATTTAAAATTTAAAAAACAAGAAGTTTTGAGTGTTTTCCTCCCAAATCAATCAATATAATTATCCCAACATGTCCCCCCCCCCCCTGTTATCTTCCAACCTTTTCCAACCAGCCATGTGTAACCCCTTAAAATTTTACAAGATAAACCACTGATGGTCGGGGAGAAGCTTCCACGCTTCAAAACGACGCACATCTGTTCAGTCGTCTTCACTGCTCAGCCATAACTCCCATCATCTGGCTGAAAGATGCACTGCAAAGTCTTGATGTCTGTAGTAAAAGACGAACAAGGAGGCAGAGTGGTTTCACTGGCATGCGTACCTCTCGCTACTTTCCAGTTGTTAAACTTCTCAGACTTGTTGGCTCATCTTTAATCACATAGACGCAGTTTGACGTTAATCTACTTCCTAATTTCCTTTTAAAGAAGTGAAAGTATTAGTGGGTGGTAAATAAAATGCTCTATACTGTTTACCAGATTTTACCAGCTAGCTTAGATGTGTTTATGCTAAAGCTCACCAATCTGATTGATGCTCAACCCCGATTTCTTTTTGTTGTTGCTAAAATCAGATGATTATTTTCTGGATTGTCGTTCATGCTACTAGTTTCCTTCTGTGTGAACGGCTTACGAAAGACGATGTGATTTTGTTTCTCATTCACCGACACGTTTCTACCTCAAACTACTGAAATTTTATGTTGGGGCAGGACGATGTGGCTGAAAAATGTATCACAATATAAGAGTTTTCCTATCAGTCAATATCAATAACTATTGATTAGTTTTTTTGCTCGAAATATCTGAGATACTGCCCAACTGGGGATGCGACCTTTTCTGCTTTACCCTCATTTTCATCTCAAGCTGTTGTACTCATTTCCTCCATTCATACAGTTTTTATTTTTATTTTTAGAAGCACAGAGGCAAAACCTTAAACTCCTGCTGCGCAAGTTACTCAGCAGGTTGTTGCTAGGTAACCGAAGAGTGAGTGAGTTGCTAGGTAACTGAAGAGTGAGTGAGTTGCTAGGTAACTGAAGAGTGAGTGAGTTGCTAGGTAACCAAAGAGTGAGAGAGTGAGTTGATGTGACTTGCCTTCCTTTGTTAGCTATCAGAGATTGAGAGACCAAAGTCTGTCCTCTGCCTACATCCCCCAGAATGCTGTGCGGTTCTGTATTGATCACATCTGTTGATAAATTTATTGTCATTGATTTATTGTCCAGCCCTAGTTTAGATGTTAAAAGTAATAAAAAAAAACTCAACCTCCAGACGACCTGCCTAAGGAAAGTTCAACAGAAGCTAATGACTTAGTTTTCCAGACGGTCAAATCTCTCGATTTTACATTTTCGCCAATTGAAATGGTTTTACTAAAGACAGTTATGCATCTAAACTCTTAATAGAGGTAGTGGTTTACAATCCTGTGAAAAATTGTGTGAAAGTTTGACTTTTATCAACAAATAACATACTGTTGGAGGAAAAAAGAGCAAGAATTGAGTTTTGTTTTTACTGGTCAAAGCCAGTCAGAAAAACTGGAAAATTTTGTTATCTGCAAATTGTTTGGTTCATTTTTTCAGGGTGTTTCATCTTCAAGTAGTTAAATCAATACTCCAAAAGATTGTAATAAAATATTTGAACAGCCACATTCTTGCTCAATTAGCTTCTTCTTTAAGCTTTTATTTTTGTCCATTTTATCACATAATATTAAAGTTTCGATGCTTATGAGTTGGTTACAAGAAAGTCAAAGCATTAAATTATTAAACCTTAAATGGGATGTTATGTAAAAAAATATTCTGCAACAAGGTCAAAGTGTTTATGTTTGAGATTAATAGCTTGCAGAAAGCAGCAGTTTGCTAGATGTTATTAGTTCTACATTAAAGTGTTGTGCTGTAATGTTAAGAGCGTTAATAGATGATGGATTGACTGGAGGGAGAAAGATTACGGGATCTTCCTGCAACATCAGCATGAAGTGCATCTCTGAGATTATAATGAAATGGCAAATGAAGCCAAACGCTTTGTATGCATGAGTGTGCAGTGTCGTATTTGTCAACTTCTGCTTACAAAGTAACATGCACTTTAGGATGAAAACAGCATAATATGATGTTTTTTTAATGGAGCATTCATTTTGTCCCAAGCTGTATAGCTGTGGTGATAACTGCTGCAATGCGTTTTCTTAAAGCATTACACTAAACTGACTCTTTTTAGATTTACTTTATGTCATAATGTCATTCCTTCGTCAAAAACATACCTGGAATGTTGCCTTGATGTTTGAGAAATCCTTTAATCTCCATGGCAACCATTCAGCTGTCCAAAACGCCTGGGTGGACCAAGCTCCGCCTTCGAGGTGCAGCTCCTCCTTGGAGGTGCATTTTCTCTGAAGGAGCTTCCAAGGTGTTAAATTACAAAGTCAATTTGTTTTTAAATCATTTATATATATATATAGTTTTGTTTTTAAAAACTGAAGTTAGCATAGTTGCTTGATTGTCCTATAAAATGGCAGTATATTCATAGAAAATACGTAACACTGCTCCTTTGATTTGCAGCTGTGCTTAGTGAATTGTTGAAGTGGTTTCACTTCAGGGCCTCCGTAGAAAACAGCTCCTTATCTACACTTTTAGAAAATGCTCAATTTGTTTTGAAAAACATGAAACATAAAGCTGGTAGTACTGGTTATCTCAGTGTGAATGACAGACTGGAATGACCTCCACTCTTCATTAAGGTGAAGTACTGGTAGACTGACAGGAGTCCATCCTCCATTTGACCTCCTTTTCTCAAATGGACATGGTGGCCCACGGTGGATCAGATCCGAATGATCCACATGATGGATGGTAGTGAAAGAATCCTCGAGAGCCGCGGCTCTGATAACCTTTAGTGACATCACATTTGCTCCCATGACATCTCTTACTGAGATTGGATGGGGTGAGGAGGTGGCTTACCGCACGTGCTCAGTCTCTGAGAAAGCTTCCTCAGAAAGACTGATGGCGCGTCTTTCCCCACACACACTGAATAAAAACACACAGGCATAAAGCAAGGAGGCTGTAAACCTTCAGCGGCCATGTGTGCCCTGCCACCCACGTCACGCTCATCCCGACGGGAACAGGAATCGGTCCGTTTCATTCCCAGAGTTTGGTAGAAACTACTTACATTTACTCAATTACAGATATTTGAGTAACATTTTTGAAAAAAAAAATCCTCTTGGGAGTATTTTTACTATTATGAAGTATTTTTATTAGAGTAAAATTTCTGGATTTTCTTCCCACTGAATGAAAAACAAACATTATTTAATCAAAAATTCACCAGACAGACACAAACCTGATGTTTTTATTAAAGATTCGTAAGTTTTTTATTGAAAGAAACTGATTTGGAAACATTTTCTTTTGCCTGATTTTGTTACTGTTGTTACTTATATAAATTAGCTTGTATATTTAAATATTAATTGATAATTGATCAGTTACTGAGTACTTGAGTAGAGTTTTTTTTACTGTTTTACTCGAGTAATTTCTTTCTCCTAAGAAATTTTGACTTTTTACTTGAGTAAACACATGTTGAAGCAGTTTCCACCTCTGTTGTTTCTACATGTTTAATTATTTCTTGGTGACTAATTTCCAGCCAACATGATATGGAAGAAAAAAACGTTTGGTTGTTTAGTAAATTGACAAGTTGCATCAGCTAGTAAACTCTCTAAATGGATCATTAAAGTTGCAGTATGTAGCTTTTATAATAAAATATATTTATTTTTACAGATGTCATGACAGCATGGTATGAGACAGATAATCTGTGGAACCAATCAACCACTTCTTGCAGTGCTAATAGAAACAGTCAGAGTTAGAAGGCGGGTCTTAGCGCTGTCAATCACCACTCCACGTGGCGTCTCTGCTCATCCCGCTTAGCCACACCCCTCACTGTCTCTTGGCTCCGCCCACATAGTTGAAATTTTTCTAAATCTTTGGGGGCGGGGCTTTGCTTTCACATGGGTGTTAGTTGCAGTTTAAATTACTGTTTTGCTGTGTAGTTTTATCTAAAAGATAAAAAGAAACGGACATGAGTCTTGTTCTTCATCAGCAGAATGAGCTCAGTAAACCAGATTTTATTAATCAACAGCTTGCCAATTTCTCTTCCAGACAAAATGCTTTATCATAATGCACAAATCAATATCTGGTCAAGAAAACGGGAGCAGTTTAATTCTTTAAAATGTTTGCTGTAAAATCACTGATGTAAAGCGTTTGTCAACATTTGTTTTATGTTTGTTTTTACTGTTTGTGGTTTTTGGTTTAATGGATGTTTTTGATCAGGACCTATCTGAGGCGTGTTTAGACCTCCAGTATTTCTTCTAAATGCATAAATCGGTTTTCTGTGTGATCCTTCAGGCAGGAAGAGCTGAAGGTATTAATGTGAAATGCATATTCCTTTTAAGAGATTTAAATATTTTAAGGATGTTGCCTGATTATTCTGGTGAATGTTTTGTCACAGCTACCCTCCTCTGTCACAGAATTGTTACAGATCAGTTACCAGTAAACGGCCAGCTTATCATCCTGCTCATGTTGTATTCATGCTAATTTCCATCATTAATTTTGATCTCCTACTGCTGCCAGTCACATTAAGAAGAGGAGCAATGAAGACACAAGAGTTTCATCCATCCATCCATCCATTTTCTGAACACCCTTGTCCCTCAGTGGGGTCGGGAGGGGTGCTGGTCACAAGAGTTTCAATTGAGTGGAAATGTGCAGATTGTGGGCACACTTCTACTAATGCGCTAACACCAAGCTAATTTTGCTTTAACTTTTTTGCTAGCTTTAAAAATGTTTAACACACTTTATTTCTCCTAAATTAAATTTTCCATATAAATTCTGAAGCACCAATTTACTGAAAACTTTCAGTTGAATTTGACTGTTAAGGTTTCTTTGGGCAGTTTGATGTTTTCATGCTCTTATTTTGAAGTGGGTGGAAATGGTTTTAGGCAGCAGTAAACAATCTGCTGATGTCCTGCATGGTTTCTCATCAAGGCTCGACTGGTCAGTCAGGCAAAATAAGCTACAGTTGGCAATTATCAACCACCATGTCACTGATTCGACCGTGTTGAGAACAATATAAAACAGGCATTGTAGCTAATGTCGTAATTACTGCTCAGCATAACTAACCTTTTAGCTAGTGGTGCTAATTTGAAGTAGGCTAACGGCAGTGGAAGCAACTCGCTGGAAAAGTTGTCAGGTTTTTTTTTTTTTTTCAGCAAAATCAGTTGAAAACCAGTTGGACCAAAATAATAAAACCAGTAAAAGGTTTTCATTACCTGTGAAACTTCCAAACAGCTGGAAGTGTTGAAACTACATTAAATCAGGAATTACATCTTACATTGATGTCGTCTGTTTTCTGTCTATTCCTGTTGAAAATCTGTGTTTTGTTTTGTTGGGTTTTTTCTCCTGAGAAATGTTGTGAATGTAAAGTATTCATGTCAGGGTGTGTTGTCTGAAACCTTAAAGTGATTTGATGAATTCCATTGCATTAGCTGTGAAAGGCCACTTGGCAGGAGGGATGAGAGGCAGAGATAAGTTGGTTTAATTCCCGTGGCTCAGACTGAATGCAGCAGCTGCTTCAAACATGTTATCAGACGTTTAGAGAGAGTTGAGATCTATGGTTTATTTTTGTGTGGAATGAGTGGATTCTCTCTTTTGATGTTTTTCAGGTGTAAAGTTTTCATGCCTCTGATTGCGTTCCTGTGTGGTCGTATGCATCGCCATGAAGCACCAGTCCATTTCCCGCTGGCTGAGCCAACTTGGACTGCCGCAGTACTGCATGCTGTTGGAACAGGAATATGATGGTGTAGAGGTAATTCTACCACAGGTTTCATACTTAAAAATTACATTTCCAAAAGCTGATGAAGCTGATCTGCGTCCTGTAGTTGCAAAGAAACAGTTTAATTTGTTGCTGTCATCATTTTCACAGTTATTTTAGGATGAAAAGAGTTTTTGTTTTTCAATCTACAGGGCCTGGCTTGAACCATTTCACATTTTGTCTCTTTAGAACAACAAACTTTAATTTTGGGGGGGATTTTATGTGAACAACTAACAAAAATCTGCACTATTAAGTGATCTTCAATATTTCTGGAAACATTGATTCCAAATTTTAATTCTAATTTTGAACTTTATTGCTTGGGAAAATCATTTTTACCTTTCATTCTGAAACTAAACTTGATGCAACATTTGCATAACCCTGACAGATTTATTTACAAGCCAAAGGCATCATTCAGGAGGAACTATGGTATTCAGATAAAAGGCACTTTGTTGTCCGTCGGAGTCTTAAGACATGAAGTATTTCTAAAGACGTGAAGTTGAACTGAGGATTTTAAAACAATCCTGTCCATTGAGGTGTTGCAGTAACTGCAGGAAGAAAACTTCTCTGCTCTAAGAATGCCAGTGTGAAGAGAGGTGGTTTTTAAGAGTGTTTCCCACAGCAGTTTAATAAAGCAGCCCAATAAAAGTGGATCAGGGGCCTATTACGCTGAACGGCCCCTAATGGAGCAGAGGCCGTGTTTACATCCAGACATTTACCAGCTTCTTTCTGAAGCTGCTGTTTGCTGAGGGATGAGCCAGTGTCAGACATTAGTTATTCCATTCCCGCTGCTAAAGCTTTCCTTAAACATAGAAAGTAATTATAGAATGGAAAACTGGTGGTTTAAAGAGACAAAAATGAACTTTCAGGTTTATTCTAGTCCCAAATGGTAAATGATATTAAAACAAACTTTAGATGAAACTTAAATATCTTCAAATTCAAGGGAAAAAAATGTGTGTAATTATTTCAATATGATGGTTAAATTTCACTGTGTTTTCTGTAATTTTGTTGAAGTGAAAAAACAATTATACTCTACAAAAATGCAAAATCTTATCAAGTATTTTTGGTCTAGTTTCCAGGGTAAATGTCTTACTGCACTTTAAATAAGAGAAACTAACTTACAAGTAACTTTTCAGCAAGATGTAGGAGCTTGTTTTAAGTAAATAATTACTTAATATTGATGAAAAGTAAACTCTGCCAATGGAACAAGACAGTTTTCATATATTTTAGTGAAATAATCTGCCAGTGCCTAGAATTTGGTTGCTAGGTGACGGACTGAGGTTGCTAGGTAACGGCACAACGGCCGGTCACTTATGAACAAGTGAACTAAAATGCCAGTGTAATTATTACTTATTCATTAACGTTAAGGAAGTATTTACTTAAGAAAAGCTCCAATATCATATGAAAAGTTACTTGTTAGTTAGCTTTGTCTTATTTCAAATACATATTTGAAATAAGACATATTATTTCAAATAATATTTGAAAATTAGATATATTCAAATATATCTAATTTAATATAATATATTTAATACATCTTATATATCTTATTTCAGATATATTTTAAATAAGATATTTGCACTAGAAACTTGACCAAAAATATGTATTTGCAGTTGCGCTGGTCTTCAGACTCTCAACCGCAGTCTGTTTTTTTTAACCATTTCTTGTTATAATGAGCTCAGTGCAGCGTTGCTAAACTCCCTCTGCATATTGTAACAACAATATCCGACTCAGTGGCTCCAGGATAATCAGGCTTCTTGTGAAAACATCAGTTTCTGTTTCCATAGCAACTCGACCAGCGTACAGTACAACCGACAACCTCCAACATACACAATGTGCCAAAGGACTTCACTGTTTTTATTCTTCGTAGCTCCAAATTGTTAACTTTATTAATGCATCAGAGATAAAATAATGAACGCTGGACAATCTGATCTATTATTCCAAAAATTGTTTTGCCAAAAAAGCCTCCATTTTGAGCTTTTTTTTCCAAAATCTCTTTACTTCCTCTCTTACTTCAGATGATCTGTTGTTCTTTGCTGCAATGCTAAAAGCAAACCTTGTATTAATTACCCTGCTAGCTTGGAAACTTTGTTTTTGCTTGTTGTAGTTTTTTATTTTTCATTTTAATCTCCGTTCTTGGATTAAAATAGATACTGAAAATCCTAATTAGGCCATTCCGATCACTTTCCTCCTGATAAGACAAACACTTTTTGGATAACTTAAGTCTTTAATAAGGTTTAAGAACAGTGATCATCTAAATTGTTCGTCTTGTAGATTAGTGGTTTAGGTTCATCATATTTTCTTTAGTCTTAGCTAATCAGTAGAGAGAAGATAAGAACTGAACATCAGATTTCTTTCCTCTGTAATCTAATTTTTCATGATTATAGTCCAGAGGTGGGTAGAGTGTACAAAAATTGTACTCAAGTAAAAGTAAAAAGTTTCCGTCCAAGAAATGATTCAAGAAAGTGTAAAAAGTATTTCATAATTTTCAGTTACTCATTACTTGAGTGAACTTTTTACCAATTATTTAATATTTAAAAATTACATCAGATGAACCAAAATATAAAGTTATGTGGAAATTTTGGTATTTTAAGGACAAAAATGAAAATAATTCATATAATTCACATAAGAAACAGAAAATACAAAAATTGGGCAAAATATTTTTTTTCCAAATCAGTTTCTTTCAATAAAAAACCTTAAACTTTAACAGAAATTGCAGGTTTGTGTCTATATGGTGAATTTTTGGTTAAAATATGATGTTTATTTTTCATTCAGTGGGTAGAAAATCCAGAAATTTTACTCAAGTAAGAATAGAGATACTTTATAATAAAATTAGACAAATAAAAATAGAAATATAGCATAAAAATACTCCTAACAGTACATTTTCAAAAAAGTTACTCAAGTAAATGTAACTTGTTTCTACACAACTCTGGATAGGTCTTAAAAATGTTGTAGAAACTTGGAATAAATTAGATATTCTGATTGAATTATTGAAGTAACTGGTATATGATTAATTATTATTCATAATTTTAAAACGTGCAGCTAAAAGCATGTTTTTGATAAAGTGGCTCCAGAAGCATTCCTGCCTCGCTGCCCCGTCGTTTCATTTTCTTCATTGTTGTATCGACCCGAATGTTTACCCAAGCCAAACCAACATCGTTGGACTCCTGTATCAACTCTCCAAAGTGCTTATTTTGCTGCTCAGCGCTGTGCGACCTGGAAGAGAAAGACAAAAAGACAACATGTCAACTTGCTGCTGTGTGCGACAGGAGATGAGAAAGATGGTGGGAGGGAGAGATTTGGGGATAGATGTGCCAGCTTTCTGTTTCTGTAGAGAATGTTTTTTAGCCAGCATGTTATTACTGACCTGTCTGGGCACGTTAGCTGCAATGATCAGCTGGAGCGCTGCATTTTTAGACTACTAATGTGATCACGTATTGTACTGCTTCTGTATTGGGTACAGAAACATTTATTTTGGTTGCAGACTTGGTGCTTTTGTTTGGCGTTTTGCTGTGTGAACAAGAATTTTGTACATTTTTATTCTTCCATGTGGGTCTCAATGCTTCTAAAAATGTCTAAGTTGATGTTTAAAAACATTAATGTATGACTGGTGTCTGGAAAAACCTCCCAGTTGTTAAGTGATATTACTGCACTGTTACCTAGCAACCCCAGCCAAACCCGACCCCGTTACCTAGCAACCCAATCAGAGCTCCAGCATGTGTGGTCAGCTGTATGTTCTGTACAATGGCTGCTGGGAAAGACGAGAGTTTTGTTGTCTCTTCCAGAAACCACTTGCTGCTATCCATACAATAATTATCGATATCGACTGATATGAAATATTTATATTTTGATAAGTTTTCAGCCTTATTGTCCAATCCTATTGCTGCATTCCTGTTGGTTGTACAGAAGGCTCCACTTCTGCTTTTCATTTTCATGTGTGTATGTAAATGTTGAGTTAGGGGGGCGTGGCCAGCAGCAGCTTATTTGGATTTAAAGTGAGAAGAAGCCACAAAACAGCTTAAAATGTAAAAGATCTGACCAGATTAAAATCTCATTATTTGAGAATCGTTTTGAAAAAATAAATAAATAAATAAACATGTTTTAAACATGTTTTTTTATCGCCCATAAACTTATTCTAACCTGTTCCAGGAAGCTTGATAGGTCTCCTTTAAAGATAAATAGTTTAGTTTGAGCTGGGTTAGCGCCTTGTGGTGGCAGGCGGTGTGTCATTCACCAGATGATTAACGTTGGCCTGTGGTTCTGAAAAGCGGTCAGCGTCTGCTTCAGAGATCATTTCAGTTAATGTCAGCAGGGCTGAAGGTGCGTTTGTTCGTGTGCTAAGAGTTTCTAATCACAGGAGCTGGATGAGGGCAGGGCATGGCACCTTCTGGGGAGCTTTTTCTTTTACTCCTCTGGAGCCACCAAGCCGTCTGGACTGATTGTTTTCTGACTTCCTCAGCAGTGTTATGTGCAGCATCTAGTTAATAATGGACCAGTGCGACTGAAGGTTTTTCTGTGAACTGATCAAATGTAATAATTCTTGGTTTACTGTGTTGAATTGCCTGGAAAAAGCCAACTTGTTGTTGAATACAGCTTGTTTTTTAGGTGAGTTGTTTAACTGTTGCAACGCTGTGAAACAGTCGGAAAAATTTAACATTTTTCATAGCAGATATTAAAACCCAACTTTAAATGTGATCTTATTTCACCTAAATTAGCATTAATTACTTGCTTTGTCTCAGTAGATAAGAGTAACCTACACTATACGCATGAAATCAAGCATGTGTAACCCCACTGTATTTATTCTAACAAGAGAAAATCAGCAGCTGTTAACATCAGTCCAACAGCCACTGGAGAAAATACAATAAATAACCCTAAACAAACTACACAGCAGCAATGAACAGTTGCTAGCAGTTAACGGTTGTAAATTTAAACAGCTAAAATGCACATTAATTATGACGAAAGTTAAAAACTTAAACAAGACATGGCAAAATTACACATGAATCCCAATAAAATTAGTCTAAAAATGATGTTAAAATACATCACTTGTGAAGAAAACAGAGATTATTCTATAACATTTCTACAGTTACAGAAAAAGGGGGAGGAGCCGACAATTACTGGTTACTATGGCAACCACCAACAGAACTTGTATAGCTATTCTGTTACGTATACAACATAATTTTATTTTCAGAAGAAAATAGACATTTTAAAGAAGCAGATTTGAATTTGAAGAATAAATAAACAGATTTTGACTAACTTCACGTCTATAATAATGTTAAAATAAAACCGTGTTGCATGTAAATGTCTGATTTCTTTAAGGTGATGTTCGTTTGTGATGTTTTCCAGGATCTGCTCCACCTGTCAGAATACGACCTGCTGGAGCTGGGCGTCCACAATCACCTCCACCGCCTACACCTGCTGACTTCCCTGCACCTCCTGCACGAGCGAGAGAGGAGGAGAGGTACCCTCATCGGCCACTAGGGCTGGGCAGCGATTCGGATTTACCAAAATCAATCCGATTTTAGCGATTCTTGGTTCACACAGTACAGATTTTACTTGGATATGGAAGACATTCCCAGAAGAACTAATCTTGCAAATCGTAGAAACTAACTTCACTAGTAAAGATATGAATATTTAAATCAAGAATTGAACCCAGTGCACTTACATTACACCAGAACAAAATGGCAAAGCTCATCTATAAAAATGTGTGGTGGTAAACATTTTTATCAGGACACAGAAGGTTCATTTACACACTTTAGAAAGGTTAGAGAAAAATTTTGGCCTTTTCAACACTCAATTTAAATGTTTTATGAATCGATATCGGGGCATTAAACTGAAAATCAGTTCAGCATTAATTGATTCATCCGTATAGATGATCCATTCGTTTCTCCTCCAACCAGTTTGGAGTTCCAGCCTGCAAAGAGCAGAGGACGATAGATTACTGTCAAGTGACGACGTGCTGATGCCTCAGGGTTCTGCTGATGGGAGAGCGATGTTCGGTTGAGGACAGCACTGTCACACACACACACACACACACACACACACCTATAAAACCCTGCAGGCCTCAGCACCGTTCTGTCTTCCAGCCCACAGCTTCAGGTGACAAACGGCTTTGTTTGCTCAGTTTCCCGTGAATTACACTGTAAATTCTCTGCGTCGTCATGGCGACTGAGTAATGCGTGGCGTTGCTCTACACAAAGTTATTGCGGCTGATCTTTCCGGTCAACACAGCTGTGAGGAAAACAAGATTAAAGGCCGACAATGGAGATCCAAATGAGCAATCCACAATCAAAACAATGGGTCGCCTCAAACGCCGCGCCATACTTTTTGGCTCTGCTGAACGTTTTTCAGACGATATATCTTTCCAGAGCCGCTGTAGGAAGCAAAGGCTATAAAAAGTCTCGTATCTCATTGTGAAGCCAGTAATTTGCGAGCTTTGCTGGACTGCAGCTTCTTATAAAAACAAAAATAAGCACCAAGTTGGAGTAAATCTAAATTCTTCACACTTACAATTTGTTCTAGTTTGATCTATTTAAATTTATGGTTATTGCTTTCCTGTTTTAGTCACTGTATTTGAGATTTGAATGCCTGTAGAAAGAAGAGGGAATGCGCTTTGAGCAGGATGGGAGGTCCTTCAGCTGCAAAACCAAAAAATAGTTCAGAATCCCTTTCATCCAATTCTAGCAACCTTATCAAGAAGGAAACTTTTTAATGTCACCCTAAAGGAGAAATCCTGCCAGCCTCCCAAACCCAAAGCTCAGATTTAGATCTCATTAATCCTTACAAACTTAATTTTTAACATATGTAACCAGAACTTTGCCTGAAAATCATGATTTTTAAGGATTAAAAGCAGTTGCATTGCAGGAAGATCATTTCTGTGTGAATGTGTGCCAGGTACTTTCCTCGTTGGCAGAGATTAAAATGCAGCCGTCCAATTAGAGATGCTTCAGCTGCAGCAATTACAGGGTAAAAATGGCCGCAGCCTCTCACACACGCTCACACTTCACACATATCTGAGGCATCTTGGCTGTGAGTCTGTTTACTTTGAGCTGTTGCTATGAAGGTGAAACCAGTGCCTGCATTTTTATCATGTTTAAAGGATTAACTAAGGGATGGACGAGGATTAGAGCCACTGAACGAAAAAAGAATTCTGACTTCTTCTCAGATTCTGTATTTAATCTGAGTTTTAATCTGAGGTTTTTTCAGAATTCTGATTTTTTTTTTTTTTTTCAGAATTAATTTTTGTTTCGTCTAAATTCTGATGTTTTCACAAAATTCAGATTTTTCAGAATTCTCAGTTTAATCTCAGGATTCTGACTTTTCTCAGATTTTGATTTAAATATCAAATTCTGACTTTAATCTCAGAATCCTGATTTTCTTTTTCAGAATTCAAACTTTTGAACTCAGAAGATTAAAGTCAAATCAGAGAAAAAAGTCAGCATGTTTCCTCCTTCTCTTCCATAGCTAAGAGTATTAATGTCATTTTAAAGTAAGAATGAGGAAAGTTCTCAAATTACCACTTGTATTAGTTTTGATATTTGAAATCTAGTTTGTGCTTCGTCTTAGTTTTATCCCACAACTTTTACATATTGACAGGATGAGATGGGAAACTGTCACCTTGACCCAGAGTTAATATCAACATTGTTCTGTTTTTGTCTCGCAGTCATCACTCAGCTGGAGTCTCTCATATCAGAATATCTTTCTCCTTTAACGAGACTCATTTAAAATAAGAACATCCTAAATAAGAAACAAAATGTCCTCCAAATTATCCAAATTCTCTTTAGTTTCGTTCCGTTTCAGCTGATAAGACTTGGTATCTAGATTTTATTTCAGGATTTCTTGTGAGGTCTGATCTGTGTTCAGTTCTGTTTTGATGCGACCAGAACATGATGCATCATGAACAATCAGCCGCGCCTTTCTGTAAGTAAAAATAACCGCAATCATTGAGTGAGATCTCTGTTATCGACTTCCTGCTCAACTCAAAACATCTAAAAAAACGCAAAGTACCAAACGCTCAGCGTTCGTTTTTATAAACATCCACGTATCTCATGGTTGCCTCTCAATAAATGCTATTTGGAGAATAAAACACAATGTTGACATGTTGAATCTGGCATGTTAAGCATATTTTAAATAACAAAATGTAATTAATATTACAGCAGAACTAATCCTGTGGGTTAGAGCTGCAACTTAACACTTTTCTGACGATTCATCAGATTCAAAAATCGTCTCATTCAGCAGATTTTACATTTTACCACAAAAACACATCATTCCTTTAGTGTAATGTATGTTGACAATGATACCAAACATTTATAGTTTATAATTTATTTCTAAGACTCAATCCAACTCCCATTTTGCTTCTACAGAGCAGTTTCACACACAGCTACGTTGATGCTAAAGCAAAACAAGTGTTTCAAAACATCAGATTGAATTCAGTAACTTTTGTTGCTAAGGATTTTGACTTTTTGAAGCTTACACTCACATGGACGCCTGTCGCTGCGTCTCCATTACATAGGTGGACAAAGTTTTGTCCATATTTTGCTAATGTTGAAAAAACACTATTTCACAATTGCGGCGTTTCCACGTTAGCATTTTATTCAAACGTTGGAGTGGCTCCGGGTGTGGCGTTTTCGGTAAACTGAAGTCGGCCATTTTACAGTACAGCTGTGGATTCAACCCCTTAAAAGGACAGTTTTTATGAACTCTGCTGTCAAAATCACAAACAAACCATCTTCCTCCTACCACTTCCTGTCGTCTTCTTTGGCGTTTCCCCCGTAGTAACAACCGGCTGTTGATCATGTGACTCAGAAGATAGTGGAAGAAGTGTTTCTGTTGCAGTTTGGTTAAATAAATCTGAGTTGATACTTGGGGGAAAAAAAACTTTTATCACAAAATGTGAATTTTTTTTCAAAATTTGCGCGTTTTCTTTAAGTGAATTTATTTTTATTTTAATTTGCGTAATTTTGTGGCTAACGGAAATGCAGTTAGTGATATCTAGGTTAGGATAACCCAACTTTTTCTATGTCAAAAGAAATGATAATTCTACAAATTATAGAAGATTTTCCTTCTCACTGTTTACTGCTGCTTTTTAGGATTAACAGAACCAAGTTAAAATGGAGAACCTATGAAGATTGCTGCTTAGCTCCTTTGCATGTCCTGCTGCATGGTGGTGCAGTCGTTTGCTCTGTTGCCTTGCAGCGGGACGGTCCAGCGGTTAAACCTCTCAGGGGTTTTCTGCATGAATATTGCCCCATTCCCTCCCTCGGCCTTACAAGGACTAGCAGTTATAGACAAATTCAAATGATTTCACCTGAAAGCATTCGCTCTCCCTTCTCCTTGCATTAAGGAATTTAAACCTGCGTAAAGACGTTTTCCGATTAATCTCCACGATGCAGGCAGAAGCAGGTATCTGGGAGGAAAAGATGAGGAATTTACAGAAATGAGAAGAGCCTCATTAAATTTGTTTTTTCAGGTGAGAACAAGCTCGCACAAGCACGGGAAATAGCTTTTATACCTTCGGTGTAAGACGTTGTACATGCATACCGTATGTACATGTTGGTACTTATGTACAAAGTCTTTTAAAATAAGTTTGAAGCAATTAGGTGACTAATAAGAAACTCTGGTGTGCAACTTTTTCCTCTTGGCTTCAGGCTGCATGTTGCATCGTTTAGATATGCCTTCCTTGTTAAGAAGTTGCGTGGAGTTAATTATTATTATTGGGGAAATTACTGTTGACGCTTTTCCTCATAATTAACTTTCACAATTTTCCAACAACGTTTTGGAGCAGCTGGTGTTTACTTCTGTTTCTGGTCGGAGACGTGCACATGGGCACACAAGCATGCATCTGTATACAAATCTATTGGAAAGAAGGGCAGCGGAGGAGGAGAGGGAGGAAGGAGACGAAGAGTCCAAGGAATGAGGGGGAGCGAAAAGAGAGACGGACGGTTAGTGGGTGATATCAGGATGAGAATGTTCTGTGGAGACTTTGTATCGTTCATTTGAGGTGCCGGAGCTAAAACATGTTGACAACCTGAAAACAAACTGCTGTACTCTACGTAACGCAGCTCTGAGGGGGTAAAGTTAGTTATTTTATAGTTTGATGGAAAACTGAAGGGAATAAACTGGTGTCCAATGTTTGCAAACCCGTGTTCAGGTTGGAGCATCTGCTTTCACTACTGGTGCCAAAGCAAGAATTTCTGTTAACAGGAAATGTGCTAATCATAATATTTAGTCATGCTAACGCTAAAAGCGCTATGCCAACATGGCAGAAGCTAATGCTAACGTGCTCAATACAGCCACGTTGACCCCCACCATGTGTCAATGACACGTGTTGCAACATGAGCTGTTGCTCTCAGCAGGCTGTAGTTTTACAGCAATGCATTCTGGGTACACAGTAAATGTCATGCAACCCTCAAGGACCAATTTAATTTCTACATCATAATTTGCATGTTCGATAACGCCTTT